AAAAAAATAAAATAAATGAAGGTACAACCTTGCACCACCACAATGTGTGCCATAAAAGGTGGTAAAAAAAAATTCCATCAAAATCTAATGACTGTAGACTTTGTGCTAAACTAGCACCGTGGATAACCAGATACATTTTCCTACGGTGGCTTTTTGCTTGAATTTCCAAGTAATGTAAAAGGACGACAATAATAAACGAATCGATAAGATACAGTCATTCTTCACACTATACATACTGGTTCTCCGCATTCTTAATTAATGGCCTTTCCTTCGTCTTCGTTTAAAATGCGATTCTGGAAATCGCTCACCATAAGAGGCAGTCCCTCCCTCAAGGACACTTTTGGCTCCCAGTTCAATAGCTCCTTTGCTTTGCTAATGTCAGGTTTCCTCTTATGCGGATCATCAGCAGTATTTGGTCTGAATTCTATTGTCGCACTTGAATCAATTGTTTCTTTGACAACCTGTTCATCAGGAAAATGTGAAAATTTGAGAATGCCAGCGTAGAATTGCTCTTCATTTGCAAGCATAAAAATCACTCAAGAATATCAAACTCTTATCAGATTCTGGATATTGGGACAAAAAAAAGGATAAAAAGGAGCAAAATCACTACAAAAATTTAAAAGAATTACCGTCCAAGCACCTTGGAGCATTTTCTGATGTCTAAATGGAGTGTATGAAAAACATTAAAATTATGGTAAGGTGGAAAAGGCAAACCTCAGCAAGCTCTAGCATGGTGAACTCCCCTGGATTACCCAGGTTGAAAGGCCCCACATGTTCACCGTCCATCAATGCCACCAGTCCATTGACCTATCATTAAAAAAAAGTGTTATTAGATCATCCACCACATCAATTCACTAATTAAGGCAGTTTCAATCAAAAGCCCATTACAGTTCAAAGGCAGACAAAAAGGATATAATCTTTCAGTTCATCTTCTCAAGTTTAACTGATTCTAGAATTGGCTGACAATAATGAGACCTATTGTGCCAGGCATACGATGTAAATATTTCAAGGTCCCAGAAGAAAATGTGGCAAAGATGCAGAATATGCATAAGTAATATGGCATGTGCTAAAGTTCCATAGAAAGAACTGCATATTGAAACTGCAGAAAGTCTACCATACCAAATCAGAGACATATTGGAAGCTTCGTGTTTGTTTACCATCACCGTACACAGTCAATGGCTGTCTGCGGATAGCCTACACAGGTAGCCCCACAACAGTTAGAAAAGCACAACAATGATAATCACATTAGGAAACATCCCAGTAGTCATGAGTTATTAATAGCAGAAATCTCAAAACCACTTTAAAAGAAAAAGGTAGTATTAAGTATTAACCTGAGCAACAAAATTGCTGACAACACGCCCATCATCCAAACACATACGTGGACCATAAGTGTTGAAAATTCGAGCAATACGGACCTGAAAACAGAAAGCCTTATGTGAGTCTGACAAGTTAATGGTGGAAACCGAACCAAATCCTATCTTACTTTGAACTACAGTAGTTATTCTCCATGACAGGAAAGGATTTCAAAAGCATTTGGATGAGACAATGTTCTAAACTCAAGCCTGGAAAAACAATGATCTGTATACCTCAGCCAAGGATCAATTAAAAGTGAAACAGGTCAAGGATGACCATTGGCACTACCAGAAAGTTCAAACAACTATACAAGGCCCAAAGAACAAAATTCACTGGGCTAGTGTGAAAATTGGGCATTACCATAAAGTTCAAGCAACCATACAAGGAAAGCCCAAGCAATAAATTTCACTTGGCTACTTGCAACCCCTAATTTTACAAATTTCTAATGTCATGTGTAGCTTCTTGGCAGCTTCAAAACTATGGCATATCTAAAAGGTACTATGGCATATTTAAAAGGTCCATTGAATCAACATTTAAAATGACAACTAAAGTATAAAGCAGAATAGTTTGCTGGGGAAAAAATGACTATAAAGAAGATTATGTAAAGATAAATAAATAAAACTGACCAGGTCGTCGAAAGTCTAATGTACCTATAAGGGAAAACAAGGAGGGCAGGTGCCACAAAATTGAAGAAATCATGCAGTTTCTCAAGATTAAACTAATTCTACATGATCTTACTGCCATTTTAAAGAATGACGTTAACATTTTATATCTGCATGCCTATCAATCCAGGCATCAAATTATGGATTCCACGATAGCACATTTACAACTGCATATCAGAACCATTGTTTCAGTTACCTCGACATCTGCACCTCGATGATAATCCATTGCCAATGTCTCTGCTGTCCTCTTTCCTTCATCATAACAACTCCTCTCACCTGCTCATTTTCAAGCATAAACACAGAGACAAATATTTATAAACATATTAAGCAAGAAACAAAATGCATTATACACAAACATTTTATAGACATAAACATCTAACATATAAACACACCTATAGGATTTACATTTCCCCAGTAAGTCTCCTTCTGAGGATGCTCCAGGGGGTCCCCATACACCTCACTCGTACTGGTGAGCAAAAACCTTGCCCCAATTCGCTTGGCAAGTCCCAGCATATTAAGAGTACCCATCACATTGGTCTTGTAATCACAGTCAAGGACCTCAAAATCCTTATTTTTTCAAAATTCAACCCAAAAAAGCAAACTAAACTAAACAAAAACAACCCAAATGCCAAAATTCAATCAAAACCATAAAGAAAGAGTGATCACAAACACTAAGAACGAACATGATTGACTAAAAAGGATATAATGGTTTTGACTGGGTTGTACTTATAATGAACAGGGGAGGCAGGGCAGGCCAAGTGGTAGATCTGATCCACCTCCAGCAGAATCGGCTCAACGACGTCGTGCCTAATGAGCTCGAACCTCGGGTTCCCAAAATGGTGCACCAGATTATCCTTCCTCCCGGTAAAGAAATTATCAATCACAATCACGTCGTTGCCTCTGTCAAGGAGCTTGTCAACAAGATGAGACCCAACGAACCCAGCACCGCCGGTGACGACAATTCGGAGCCTCCGCTTGCCGAGCCCAACGGGGATCCGACCCACCTTGGCAT